TCCCCGCTGATTATCCATGTATCTCAATTTCACTATCATAGCTGAATAACAAGCCCTTGTTTTGGCAATTTCGAAATTTCGCCACTACTGTGGCAGTAATTTAGCCATTTACGCTCTGGCGCTGTAAGTGTATCAGCTGAAGCAGTCAAGGCCTTGAGATGGTGTGCTGCCCAAGTGCAGGCAATTAATTCGTCACCGTATCTAATAACCGCAATTCTAATTAGCAGAAAGAAGTTCTAGCTAAAGAGAGCAGTAAAGGTTGCTTTATAGAGAAGCGAGTGTGACGAGCTAAATGATAACAGTTTGGCAGTTTGGCAGCTTGTCTTTCTAAAATAAAAATTTAATTTTGAAAGAAGCGACACCAAACTATCTCAAGTGCATTAACTACTAACCAACCAATGTTTTCATTTGGAGTAGAAAATCCGCATTTTTGTAGCGTCTAACATGGAGATCTTACGGTCGCATATTAGGACCTATCGATTCAGCGTACTGTGTTAAAGACTAAATTCCACCCACAGTAAATCTATCAGTCTCGCTTTAGATAAGGTTATTCCACTAGGTAGAAGGATGATCGACACAAACTCCAACTTGGTCGATTTTAAAGCAGCCCTTAACTGTAAGCAATACCAAAAGAATGGGAGAAGACCTCTCCCAGCTGCTCGTTACTAATCGAGGTTTCAGACAGTGCGATTCCTTATCGTGAGATTTGTTTAATTCACTGCTGCAGAAAATAGTACGAGCTACAGAGCTGAATAGAGTAAGTAAGTACAGGAGTGTACAGCTGCCGGCGTATGCCGATGATATTGGCATTATAAGCCTCAACAACGGCCCATGTGTTTAGCTTTCTCCAGACTTGATAGCGAAGTGAATGGGAGTGGTAATGCTGCCTAGGTAATGTCTTCCGAATGGAAGGAAGTATTCAATGTGGCACCAACTATTGTAGTTCAAGTAGAGGAAGAGGTAGACCTACACTTCGTAGGAAGGATCATGTGGAGAGTGACCTAGATTCACTTGTTATTTTCAATTGGCTGCAAACAGTGGAAAAATAGAATTAATGGCGCGCTGCTGTTAGCTCGGTTATAAACGCGTAAGCGACGACCACGCCAGTAAAGAAGGAGGATATAGTGGCCGAATATACATTTCGACCGAGCTACTCCTGCAATTTGATACGTGCGTATTTATGGTTTTGCAATAAATGGAGAGGCCACCAATTTATTTGAAGCCATTTTAATGATTATCAGGCAAGGAGGCAGAATGTATATATAAAAGCTTTTGGGAAGAGATAAAGGTTACGTTAAGTTGGGTTGAAGAGGTTGCTGGGTAACAGCTTATATGGCTACCTGGCTCATTGTGAAGGATCTTGTAGCCACCGCTCTCTGGTGAAACCCCCGCATTGAGTGTGCAAAAGTGAGCAACCGTCTATTCTATTAAGCTTACCTGCTCTAGAGCCACCAGCCTTCACTTCAAATGTTCGGAGCAATGAACTTTAAGATATAGTCTCTTTCCCATCTCTACACCTCCTAGCGAAGTCGTTTGCTGGTGGCCTTATTCGTTATGCGTATAACCGTAATATAATATCTTTAAGTGTAGATATATATTTTCTCTTGTTTTTCTTTTAAGCGGGCATCAATAATAAGTGAGTATCTTATAGAGTCTTTACATGTGGATAAAGACCTATCCAAGCTAGAAAGGGAAAAGAAAGTGTCTTTCCTTACAAGGTCGTCCGGCATCTCAGCCTAAGATATAAATACAGTCCAATGTAAGAACCATTAAATTTAAAACAATGTCACCTTAATGTGTAGTCACTTGTTCTGCTGTGAAACCGTAAAGTAATCCGAAAGACTAATAAAACCAAGCTCTCAAAGAGAACAAAGGTAGTTTGCAGTCCCAGTAATACGAAGTTCCACCAGCGTAAGCACTGGAGCTAAAACTTTAGTATTTTACATTATTTGTAAAGTACATAAGCATCGGCTTTCATCTATAAATGTTTAAATTGAAGTCATCGACCCATTTTTTTTTTTTTTTTTTTTTTGGTTACACTTAGACCGCCCTGCATGGCATCACATGAAGATTTCGGGAATTTGCCATCTACTTGAATCATCCGCGTATACTTTTACTTCTGAATGTGAAAACAGTTGCTGACAAAGCTCATGGAAATGGCGACTTCTCTGCTAATAAATATGTATGTATAAAGCTGATACTCTCTCCAACTCAGAATCTACGATCCTGCATCCAAAAAACTGATTTACTCGCAGATCATTCTTCAGACAGAAGAAACTGCACCACCAATTGTATCGCTGTCTCCATAATATTGAACTTCAACAATCGCTCCGCTATTTTCAGTTGAAATGGCGTCGGGCTTATTAGTGTGACGTTTTTCGTTGGACTGTGCGAAATTTTCCATAATTTGAAATGGAAACAAATTCTCGATTGATAATGATTGAGGTGTATTTCCACGTTACGAGTTTGGAATACGCGATTATCTTGGATGCTATAAATGACTTGCTATTGATTTAAAAGTGAAAAAAATATTTCCAAAAGCTGAACTTTTTATTTTGCTGCAGCCCCTCAGAGCGTGCGCTGAGTGCAATGATAACTTTAAACGCTATTTCGTTGCTAACTTCACAAAAATATATATATTTTTTTTTTTTGGAAGTACGTAGCCGTTTTCCAATGAAATATACACTTTTTTTATTTGTTTTTGCGACCATATTATATTATAAGTATTAAGTAAAGTAAAGTAACCCGTTAGTTTTTTTTTTAATTTAGTGCATATTTTTTAGTCAAAAATCAATCTTTTTAGAAAAAAGTATGCTCTCACAAAAATAGTTTAAAAAGTATACTAAAAAAAGTATAGTACTTTCGAAGCATGATAATCAATTATTAAAGGTTGGATAAAAAGACAGCTTTCTCGCTTCTTCCAGACAAGTCGGCTCCCTTACTAGGAAACCATGAAACATTTGTTGGGCAGCACTTACTCTTTGCCTATTGGCAGGTTGAGTTTGTTTACCTTTAATATTTTCTGATTATTTAATATTTTTTTTTAATGAAAAATATTTTTTTACGATTGGTAATCTTTTTGATAAGTTTATATTTATGTGCGTATATTACACGTATACGAATAATTATTAATGGTTTCAGGTGACTTTAATGAACTGATCCTTGAGAATTCGGTGGTATGTGAACTTGTGGGTGCTTTTGTATTTCAGATATATGCTGCAACATTTTTTTGTCTTGCCAATATGCAATAGGCATGCTACATATCTAAGTGGTTGCGAATCGTCGTACGTTTGAACGTCGAACGTTAGCTTATGAAGGAGTAGCGATGACAACCAAAATGGATGTTCAGCAAAGAAGCTGCATTGAAGAATACAAAATAACAAGAACCACAACCTACTATGAACATGATAACTTATTATCAAATGTTAATGGATGTATATTTATTTTTAGAGAGATACAAAAAGATGAAAAGGGCAAAAATATGTTCTTCAATCGTTGCTATTGCTACACAACAACTTTATAAAATTTTATAAGTTTTTTAGGAATAGAAAGTCGATCAGTAAATGTATCTAGTTTGCGCCCCTAAGTCTAAAGGTGAAGAGCAAAATGGTAGAGAAACGGATATAAGCAAATCTGACGACTGAAGTCAACTGTTATTTTAATTTTATTCAACTTATAACCAACTAAACAAAATTAGCTATTAGCTAACTGGTCAAATGCAAATCTTCCTTCAAGCGAAGCCAGTTTTCTCTGCTTCCCAGCGTAGCAGATGTCTTTTAATTCGTAACAAAGAATGAAATAGAGTTATCTGTGAAATAATTACTTTTACTGTTATCATTATAAGTCATTAAATATGAATCAAAAGCCAACGATTATATTTTTTTTTTTTTGGGTTCTATATATTTTCTTTAATTGGTAATAATTATTTTTCGTATTTACTTAAACTATATTCATTAATATAGTGAGCCAAAAATCATTCTTCAAAGTCGGACCTATTCAGAAAGATAGAGGGAAGAGCCGTAGAACAAATAGAAAAAACTCCCATATTGCATCTTAATATTTTTTATCAGCTTTTAACTATGCTTCTGCCTTCTCTTATATATTCCATATATTAGTTTTATTTTAAAAAATCGATTTGATCTACAAGTTTATAATGTTTGTCTAAAATATATGATATGTAATAATAACGACTAAATAATATACTAATCTTCCTACTTTTTTCTCATTTTGGCTATAAATGAACTACCGTTTTGCAAATTAGATAATATTTTATCCCTCTTTCTACTACATTCGAAAATGCACCCATTTGTAAGGGAGAGTCAAAATTCCCTTGTCAATACTTATCCAACCTTTAATTATTGAATCATGCTTTCGAAGACCATAGTTTGTAGATCAAAAAACTTTTTCCTTTTCTGTTCTAGCTGTCATCGTTTAGAAGAAATCAGCCTTTTCGTGCACGCCTCTCAAAAAACACGTATTAAATAATGAACTCTATCACCGCCATTTTGTAACAAAATAATCATTAAAGAATATTTTTGTATACTGCAATATGGGCTCAAGGAAATGCTTAAGTAGAATTTTTATTCCTTTATCACGTTCCTATAATAAATTTAAGAAAAATTAAACGTTTTTTTCAATCTCTAGAGTGGTTTTACCCCGTAAACTGAAAACTCTTGCTTATTCCGTTCATTTTACCTCATTTTTTTACGGTCAAACATCAAATATGGTTTTAAGAAATATATCGCTAGATGACATAAAGGTCGGACTATGTATTTCTCTCAAGAAAATATAAATTAATATTAAGTATTTGAAAACACGAATTACATTATGTAAAGTCTTCAGAGGAGTGTATAAATTTTCTCCAAAAATATATTTAAATTAAATTAAAGTATAAATACATTTAAATCAATGCAAAATTTACAATATTTACCTTTTTAAAACATTTCACTCTGCTTCTAATTCTCTCTCTCACTCCCTCTATCTCTCTCCATCTCTTTTAGTGCATCGGCATACGTGATCGCAGTAAAACAGTCGAATTGTGGAGTGGCGTCGCTCAATACTGTCTACTCGTTGGTAATTACAACAGTGCGACGGCCATACTCGAATCGCTTGAATCGCCGCCTATAGCGAGACTGAAAATAACGGTAAGTAAATACACCAGTATATAGATAATGAGGACGACCAACTAGTGCACTATAAGAACGTTCCGTGCTCTCATTTTATATGTACTTTATATATAAATGTGTGTGTGTGTGTGTAAGTATTAAATAAACCAACTAATTGCCACCACAGTGCAGCAGTCTAACGGTTAAAATGCACGTGCAAGCGACACAAATTACCCTGACAAATATTTATTTAAAACTTTTAGCGCAATAAAATTTACTATATAGAGCATACATATATACATACATATACATTATGCCACTAAAATCAGATAAATATAGAAAGTGAACGTAAACAACAACAGACAGGAATTTAACAGAGCAACTACTAAGTGCGCTTCCGTTATAATAAATGATTCGACACTAAATTTCTCCATTATTATACATAACGAGTAGTGTGCCCTGGCTGGCGGTGTGCGTAAAGGAAATTAATGTTAATTCAAATGCATAATTTTCCGATGCGCGCAATATTTAAGCCGCCTGCCACATGCCACATGCCACATGCCGCATGCCGCATACCGTCGACGCTCACATTCAGGTCTATGTGACAGGCATTCAGAGTGGTAATCGCATATTTTGTGCGCGCAACGAGTTAATATTTATTAATTTCGCAGCAGTAGCTTTTAGCAGTCGCAACGCGGCCGAGTAAGGGACCCGGGCGAATGTACTAAATGCAGAAACAAACATATTCGAGCGCATCTATTTAAATTATAACAAATTTCATTACCGCTTGTGAGGTACACACATCCGCCTCAGTCGCCGCATTGTTCCAGCTGGTTGCTTAGCAACGCACGGCTGAATATTAATTGCGTCAAACTGTGTAGCTGAGTAATGCTGCGTAGCGTTTGATTTTGCCGCTATATTTGTTTTTGTTCTCCGCTATGCGTACGTGCGTAATTAAATTTCATAAAGCATGCAACAACAAAATTTATTTAATAACAAACGTAGAATGTGTCCTTGTCGTTCACTTTTAGTGTTCCACAAGTTCAACATACGACCCTCATGAGAGGCCGATCTAGTAAGTTTAACAATTTTCCGACATTTGTATACCCTTTAAGAGCATAAAATGTAATTTAATTCTTGCTCAATATTTCCAAGAACAAGTTGAAAAGCGATTGAAGAGCAAAATGACTAAAGTCATATACGCAACTCATATTTTTTGCTAATTCGACTTCCAGTTTTCAAAACTTCGAAAGAAACTTTAGTCTTCGGGTGTAATTTTCTTTCGAAAACATTAATTTTGGTCACAACTTCACCAAGGAACGAACTCAATTGATAAAATTTCGCACACACTTTGTTATCTATAAGAAAAATTTTTCACAGTTAAAATTATCAAAACTAAATAACGTCAACAATTAGTCATCCTACATTTATTTTTTCAAAAACGAGATTTTGGCTCAAAACTCAACCAAATCGGTTGCTAAGAACAACATTCAGTTCAAAAACAGACTTTTCACTCATAACTCGGTCAACTGTGCAGCTAACCAGATAAGCTTTGGTAGCCTAGCTTAGTATAACCTGCAAATGGTGGGTTGTGAAAATTAACAAAATTGCTTGACATCAACTTCTTGCCACCATACCATTAAAAGTTCAAAAACGCGTTTCTGACTGATAACTCTACCGAATAAGCAGCTGAGAGCACGAAATGTCGAGGGAACTGCATTTTTGAAATCTAAAGGCTGATAGCAAAACTTAATGTTATCGGTTGACTGCATTGGGTAGCTCTTGAGCAATTTTTTGTTCAAAAACCAGTTTTTTACTCATAACTTGGTCAATTATGCAGCCAGGTAGATGAGTTTTGGTATTCCGGCTTAATGTAATAAGCAAATAGTTTGTTGCTAAAATCATCAAAATTGGACAATTATTACCAATGGCTCTCTTAGAAATTACTGTTCAAAAATAGGTTTTTAACTCATAACTTCTACATTTAAGCTACTGCAAGCATGCAATTTGGCATGCTTTTTAACCACTGTAAATAAAACCCTCACCGGTATTTTTTCCTAAAACAAACGATTGTTAGACAGAGAATATATACATATGTATACTAAATTACAAAACTCAGAGCACAAAGTTTAGTATTCCACTCAACTGAAAACTGAATTAACGATTATAAAGAAAACTGATTTGAAAATTCAAATACAATAACTTTTTTCATTTAACTTTATATTCGAATTTTTGTATTTATTACACTTGAGTCAGTTTTGCCTCGGAAATGTAAAGAAAAAAATATGTGCATATAAAAAAATTAATAAATTATTTTACACGTGTAGGGTATAAATTTCTAGAGCCAAAGCAAATGTATGCCCCTCCCATCGCTCTATAATTCACAGAAATAGATTAAACCTTAGCAAAGCTTAGCATTCAACAAGCAAACATTAAGTGAGCGTTACAGCACACCTTTCATACAACCAAATACAAACACAAGCACAAAAAACGTATAAATATTTATTTACGCTAAGAAAACCCTCATCCACATACACACAACATTTTTAAAAGCAACTTCTAAAGCAGATTTACCCTCGACGTAGTAAACCAACATGTTTTATAAGCCTCAACACTTAAGTTGTAACCTGAGATTTGTAGCAAAGGCACGCACAGCCACAGCCACAGCCACGACCACATTACGCCATACAAACACACACACACATACACGCGCTTACATATTTAAGCACACGGTGACCGCGTCAGACATTAATAATTACCATATTCTCTAGGGTGTTGGCAAATTTCCGCGTTAGCTCCCTCAGAGCGAAAAAAAAACACCAGGGCGTATACGCAACCAATTTTTACTACAAGTATTTGCTGTTTGCGTACTTATTTACAAACTTACGACATAGCTAACGGATTATATTTTAATAGAAAGTACATGTGAAATTGTTGAAATCATAATTTGCCATGCATTAGATGTAAAGCTTACCGTTAGAGATGTTGGCTTTTTCCGCTACATTGTTTGTTTACACTTCTATACGCCCACACACACGCACGTCGTACGAGCTCAACCATCGTCTCGAAAAACTTATGTGTGTGGCGTTGTGTTATCTTTAATACTCTATTCATAATGTTGTCACACACTTACATACATAAATAATAATTTCTGAGAGATTTCTCATGCAAATTGCTATGAGCTTTTGAAGGTCGCTTTCCGTTATGCCCGCCATTGTAGATAATCAGGGCCATAATGCAGGTCTTAATGTAGGCCATCTTATTGTTATACATTCCCTTTTCAATTTTTGTATTTATAATCACAGGAAAATGCGCAGACACATTAAGGATTAGGTTTTATTATGAAAACGTGTTCTTCACTTTGTTGGGCTGCTATTTGTTTTAATCCAAGCAAATCGGTTAGCTTTAAGAAGTATGATGACTTAAATTTTCCTCCAAAATAAACCTTTTAGCGTATACCACTCAGTAAAGCAAGCTCGACGAGCTCAAACTCAATAACTGCTCTAGACGTTGCCTTTGACATCAGGCCAATTAAAATAATATTGGTCTACGGGGCAACAGTAATAAATAGCCGCCAAATAGCCTGTATAGTAAGATTTACCCAAGATATCCACATCTGTATTATACTGATAGATCCTTATCTGAGATGTTGCCAATAATCAAGGTAGCTTTAAACTAAATCACTACAACTCTACCTGAAAGCAGAGATTATGGGTGTTACTAAAAGCAACCGAATGAGCAATCATTTGGCAGAGGCAAAGATATCACATTTCTTCTAGACATCAAAGCTAAATGTGTCAAAACAAAGTCTGAGTGTGTGGGAAAATTCGAAAAGGCAATAAGCAACGAGGTCACACAAATGCAGAAGGCAATGAAAAGGTGGACGAAGTGGATCGGGGTGACCTCACTATCGAAATTATCACTATCGACTGCCTCATATCTTTTAGTACCTTCAAATGTTGCTACGAGCAGTGTAACTCATGGGAAATCTTAAGGCCCTGGAGCAATTTCAAAGTCGAACGCAAAACCAAACTACTGTCGATCACAGACATACTAAACTCTTGCTGGCACTAAGCGAGAGGGAGCAAATGATTATTATAGGTACACTAACGGAGCATCTACCTCAAGTTATGAACTCCAAAATGTAAGCAATAAAGAATCGGCAGAGTATAGATCCTGCACAGAGAAGGAAGAAACGCTGAATAATTATATTTTATGGAGATGGGTGCAAAGTAGTTGAAGAAACTAATACAACCCATTCAATCGAGCAAAATACTCGCTAAATCATAAGAGAAATGAGACAATAAATTTACTAAATGGCCTAGGTGTGATCCTTAACCTCTCTATCAACCAACCAACTATATAATTCATTCTTTCCGAAGCACTCCGAAGTGCTGATGGTTTTCATCTTTTATTTCAGGTCATAAAACACTTGAAGTCGAGTTGTCGAATCCAATGCAAACTCGAGGAATTTCCTCCGGGTAACAACTTTGGGGTGTGTCACGTATTAACATCATTTTGATTGTTGATCTACATATTTATTGTAGGGGTGTTTCACCCACTTTCATGACTACCAGCAGGGAGTGGGTTGTTGATCTCGCCATGGCCTATTGGTGAACAACCTTTCACGGGTTATAAATTTATCGTGGACCAAACCCGTTCATTCAGAAATCTTTTCGGGAACAGAAAGGCTGGAGTACCTACAAGGAAAGACGGTTTAGGAAACTTTACTTATCACTTTCTTCCGATTCAAGGAAGAGCTCATTTCTCTCATGATCTTATCCGAGATCATCAAGTCGATGTATTTTGAACAAAGCTCGTAAAATTAAAACTAGTAACGAAATGTTCATCAGAGAGGAACTTCTGTGGAAGTGGAGAAGGATGTCCCAAAGATTTCGAGGATTTCTAGCCATAAACCCAACTCTCTTAGAAAACATAAGGGATGAGGCGGGCAATTGGACTATGGTTAGTGAAACTTATTATTCCAAAAATTTCAGGAAGATAAAACTTATGTTGTAGGGCCGCAATAGATACAAGAG